ATTTATTATATAGCAATTACTCCTAACAAATCATAAAGCCACATTAAATGAAATTATAATTTAAAAATTTTTTCAAACTATTTATTTGATTTTTTTTTTTTTAGTTTTAACTCATTAAGCAAGTGTTTTTATCAACATTAATTATTTAATTTTTATGATATAACCAAAATTTTTAAAATTTCGATACTATAATAATAATTATTTTAATATTATTTTATCTAATTAATTGTTCATACTAAAAAAGTATTGCAAAAATTATATAATTGCAATCGATATAAAAACTAATATGTAAGTTAATAGTTTATTGTTCATTTTTACTAATGATAAAATTTATAAAATGTGATATGCTATTATCTAACTTATAATTTTAAATATTACATATACATATATATAACATATAAAATTATATTTTGCATTTGTGCACATGCACAAGATCAAATGGGAGTAATAACGAACACCAATTGTCCATTCTTAAATTTTTAAAATGAAGTGCGAATTTTATTTTTAATTCACCTTTGTCCGCGGGACCCAATATTCCGTTAAGGCTGCGGGACCCTTCCGATCGCATGTGAAACCGTTGCATAAAATCTGAACACGGTGGCGGGTAGAGATGTTAAATGGTCATTGGCCCGACGGGCCGGCCCGTTTAGCCCGGAAAAAAACAGGGTTAGGGCTTTTTATTGGTAACCCGTTTAAATCAGGGCTTTTTAGGTTCGGACCGTTTAAACCGAAGCCCGTTAGGGCTAGCCCGAAACCCGCTAGGGCTGGCCCGTTTAACTTGAGTTGGGCGTTGTAAATCTTTGCAGCAAGTAAGTAATATGCTCTTAGATTCATTGTATATTACAATTTTGCTATTCCACTTCACATATAAGTATGAGTTGTAACGGATTATATTGATTTTGAAAGATAATTATTAACAATATTCTTATTTTACTCCAAACCAAAATATTTAACTCAATCAGAACGACTAATAGGAAACAAATGAGACAAAGACCTAACACATGAAACATATTGATAGAATTTATAGTGATATAATATCGTAAAAATTTCCAAAGCGTACAAAATAAGTAGTGAAATGGTAATTGTATGTAATAATTCGAATATCTTTTTCTTTTGAAAAAAAAAATATTATTTAAGAGTTTGTAGTATGTGTTCATATATGATGTGTAGTTGTGTATATAGAGCGGCAAATACTAAATACCGTTGAAAACAATCGTTAATTAGTCGTTGTAATTTTTTATATTTTTTTCCTTTTATTTTTTATACTTTTTGATACATTATTATTATTATTATTATTATTATTATTACTACTATTATTAATATTATTATTAAAGCCCGCTTAGCCCGTTTAGCCCGAAGCCCGCTAGGGTTAGGTTTAGGTCCTTTTATTGGTAGCCCGTTTAAATCCGGGCTTTTTAGACCCAGACCGTTTAGCCCGAAGCCCGCTAGGGCTAGCCCGTAACCGCTAGGGCTAGCCCGTTTAACATCTCTAGTGGCGGGTCTCAAAGAAAAAATAGTGGACATTGACCGGCTATAGCCGGTCGCTTTCCAAACTTATAAATGGAAATGTAGAAGACAACCGCACTAAACAAGATTTTCCGGATTGAAAATTTTCCGTTTTAAAACATTTATTGCAATTTCATTAATTTTCGTAAGGGACATTTGCAATAAATTTATTGGAGCACTTTGATGAAAAAAAAAACCAAACATTGTTGTAGATAATTTTTGTATGTCATTCCACAAAATTTAGTTATACTTAGAAATAAAAAGGTGAACTTTTTTTTTTTATTCTTATCCCAAATTTATAATTATGTCGTCATTTTTTTCTCACTTTTTTTTTTTGTTTTGTTAGTCTTATCCCTATTATTATTTTTTTTTTCCCACCATAATATATTAATACCCTAATTAATATAAGTTGTGACAAGTAAATCAAGAAATAATGTCATGGTATATATAGCTAGTAGTAGCAAAAGTTACACAAAATGTCATTTGTTTGGGTTCATTGCATAGGTTAGTTTAAATTTAAGAAAAAGAAGGGAAAATAAAGAGTTGCCTCAAGTTTCCAGTCAATATATTAACACAAAAAAGAAAAAAAGAAAAAAAAATCTCAAGTCAAGACCAGACAAAAAACTCAACCGGTTTAACAAGTCGCTGGTAAAGAGAAACGCACATCACGCCACCAATTTGCAGAGAAGAGAGAGAGAGAGAGAGAGAGAGAGAGAGAGAGTATACAGAAAATAAAAATGGCCGCGTTACGTCTAGGGCGATATATACACACACAAATATAGTTGCAGTAGCGCCACCGCGTGTACCACAACACACCATTCAGTCGCCCCTTTTCATCTCTTCATCCTTTAGCCCTCACAGTTCTAAAGCGGCGAACGTTCATACTCATTCTTTCTCTCTCTGTGTCCGTTCAAGTGCCAAAATTTGTTCTTTTTTTTTCGTCGCAGAGAGATTTTTGAGCAGCTAATAGAAGCACAGAATCATTCTTGTAGTGGGTTTTTAGTTTCTTTAAAGAATCTTTTGTTTCTTTCTCTGTTTTCAAGTCGGGAATTGGTAATGGGGAGATTGTGTGTGTTATTACGTTGCCTTTCGGTTGCTCTGTTGCTGGGGGTGTGTTTGGGTGCGGACCCATTTGCCTTCTTCGATTTCGAGGTCTCTTACATTACGGTCTCGCCTCTACTTGGTCAACCTCAGCAGGTGACACGATTTTCCTTCCCTTATTACATTTCTTCTTTATGTTAATGGGTTTTAAGAATGGTTTGGTTTAGTTCTTGATCTTTTGTTCTGATATGGGATAATGGGAACGAGGAAATTTATGAACTTTGTATGTTGGGTGGATATATGACTTCTTTTTCTGGTGTTGTTATTTTCTCGATTGGGTGTCTGTCGGTTTAAAGATTGCATTTTTTTTTTTTTCTTGTTTTTGCTCTGTACATAGCTTTTGTGTTTGAAGAGTAAATCTTAACAGCATTGATTCTTGAGTGCCCTGTAATTTTTTCTTCCGCCGTTTATCGTTTGGCGGTGTGCTGTAAAAGGAGGCAAATTTATTGGAAAGTTACTGAAGAATCTCAGTTGTTCATGTATACCGCTGCTCTGTAATTCTCTTTTGTTCAGAATATTTTGGTTGATGTATTTCTATTTATGAGCATGTTTGTTTTTGTATTTTCTAACCTTGCCTCAAATTGGCCCTTTTTGTATGTTCTTCATTAAAAAATGAAGTTCTCTAACCCCTAACAAAAGTGATGATGGTAGTTGATGTTTTCCCCTTAACTGGGTTTCCAGCATTTGTAGAATGTCAAAATTTATACCCTTGTTTTTGCAGGTTATTGCAATCAACAAGAAATTCCCAGGTCCCGTTATCAACGTAACAACTAATTACAATGTTGTGGTGAATGTGAAGAACAATCTGGATGAGGATCTCCTAATCACATGGTATATTTATTTTCTAGTCTATTTTTCTTTATTCATTTCTTTTGTTCTCTAGAATATATGATCAATGCTGCTGTTTTTGCTGGTAGGTCCGGAATCCAAATGCGCAAAACTGCGTGGCAAGACGGGGTTTTGGGCACGAATTGCGCGATTCCACCAAAATGGAACTGGACTTACCAGTTTCAGGTGAAGGATCAAATTGGTAGCTTCTATTATTTCCCATCACTGAATATGCAGAGAGCTTCTGGTGGATTTGGTTCTATTATAGTTAACAACCGGTCAGTTATTCCCTTGCCTTTTGAACTTCCTGCTGATGATATAATCCTCATGATTGGTGACTGGTATACTGGCGGCCACACTGTACGTATTTTCTAGCATAGTGGCCATTTTTTTTTTTTCTCATTTTGGACATCATTTTTTTACATTTTGTCGATTTTGAAACAATAGGCCCTTCGAACGACCCTCGACCATGGACAAGCGTTGAATCCTCCGGATGGGATTTTGATCAATGGAAAAGGACCGTATAATTATAACAACACGGCTCAAGATGAGAACGCATACGAAACTATTAATGTTGAACGGGGTAAGATTTTTGTTACATTTTTGCTGATTTTGGTTCTAATTCAGTTAACTTTGGTTAGTGAGTGTTCAATCTATACAATATATTTATTTATTTATTTATTTATTTTATTTTATTTTTTGGGTTCATTATTGCAGGCAAGACTTACAGATTTCGAGTCCACAATGTCGGGGTCTCGACTTCTCTGAATTTCCGAATTCAGAACCATAGTATGCTGCTGGTCGAAACAGAGGGCTATTACACTATACAGCAGAATTATACGAACATGGACATTCATGTGGGCCAGTCTTTCTCCTTTCTCGTCACAATGGACCAGAACCCGAGCAGTGCCTTCTATATCGTGGCTAGTGCCCGGTTCACGAACCAATCACTTAACGGTGTGGCGATTTTGCGTTATTCCAACTCGAGTAGATTGCCCGTGGGTCCACTCCCGGATGGTCCTAACGATGAATATGACAAATCATTTTCAATGGGCCAGGCCAAGTCCATCAAGTGCGGTGAAGTTCTTTATTTTTTTTTCAATGTTTGCGTTCGATTTAATTGATTTTACCATGTTAACACACACACTACATTAAATCAGGCTAAACGGAAGTGCGAGTGGGGCCCGTCCGAATGCTCAGGGCTCGTTTCATTACGGTGAAATAAACGTGACAGACACATATGTTCTCCAAAGTGTGGGGCCAACTTTGATCGACGGAAAATTGCGAGCAGCGTATAATGGAATATCCTTTGTGAAACCCGATACGCCCTTTAGGCTTGCGGATTGGTATAAAGTGAAAGGGGCTTACAAGCTCGATTTCCCCATTACGCCCCTCAACAGGACAACGCCTGTTTTGGACAGGTCGATCATCAATGCTACTTATAAGGGTTTTATCGAGATCATTTTGCAGAACAATGATACAGTCTTGCAAACTTTTCACCTCGACGGTTATTCCTTCTTTGTCGTTGGGTATGATTGATGAAACATAGTCTTTTGAACAGAACCCTTTTTTTTATTCGAATTGTGTGTTGTTTGTTTTAATGATCTTTGCTTTGCAGAATGGATTACGGCGTCTGGACTGAGAACAACAGGGGTACGTATGATAAGTGGAGTGCAATATCTCGCTCGACTGTTCAAGTAAGAAAATTGGGTTTGCCTTTTATAGCTCTCGATTATTTATGCATGGTTTGTTCAATTTGTTTTATTTTGTCGAGCGAGCAGGTTTATCCTGGTGCATGGACTGCAGTTTACGTGTCTCTAGACAATGTTGGTGTTTGGAATCTGAGGACTGAAAATCTCGACAGATGGTACCTTGGACAGGAGACTTACATGAGAATTACGAATGCCGAGGATAATGGCAACAAAACCGAACTGCCTCCTCCCGATAATGTTCTCTATTGTGGTGCCCTGAAAAATATGCAGAAGTAATTCCATAATCTAATCACTGCAGTTAAAAAAAAAAAAAAAGCAAATCACACGAGCACTCTTTTGTGCGCGTTTTTTGTTAAGCTAACGGGGAATTTTTACTGATCTCCCTCTTGTTTTTTTTGCAGGCCTCAAAAGATTACCTCTTTGTCTGCTCGACTCGTTTGCTCAAAGCTCCTTGTCCTTCTGCTTGTGATATTCTCTACGTGGGGTTTCGATTCGCGTTAGCCGCTCGTTTTTTTTTTTTTTTTT